AGAAGTATAATAGATTAAATAATTAAGCATGGGTGAACATAGATAAAAAGTGGAAGAATAGAAGGAAATGCTTTTATTCTTCCTTTTAAAATGTAAAAAGAAGGTCATTACTATTTAGAGTATATTGATATGTGTTGCTCACATGAGGGACTTTAAAGGGATATTACTAAAGTTCAAGTAGTGGTAAAATGGAACGATGTGATAGTGTCCAGTGGTTGGATTGGAAAGAAAAATCCTTGAAGATTGGAATTCTGTGTTCTCTATTTTCTTTAAATATAATGTGTGATCAATCTTCAGGTCTATCTTTGCCATTTATCCCTCAACAGAGGAATTCCATACATTTTCCTAATGATACCACTGAGTCTTTCATCCTAGAAATTACTCATCTTTATGTTTTCAAAATTCTAGTTAGTTTATCCTTCCATTCTGCAACATGCTGCCTTCTCATAATTTGCTATCAGATAATTCTTCATACACAGGCCACAGATTAAATCATATCCCTCTTTAATAATTTTTAGTGGATTCTTATTGCAACTAGACTGAATTAGCAATGTGAATGTGATTTCAGTTCAACTGCTTTTATATTATAGGTATCTAGATCAGCATAGATTATCTGTTCATCAGTATGCCCAGATTATATGATATGCATGTAGAAGTGTAGATGTATACCTAAATACACACATACATATGTATATATAGTCTTCACTCTTCTTTTGTTCATGATGGCATTATTTTTTGTTTCTTCACAATAAAATCTTGATTTAACTTTGAGATTTCTTCTCCTCTTCCTGTACTAAAATATGTGCTATTGCTAACATATATTTCTTTTAGCTTTCTGTACATACTTCACAATCTCAGGTATATGTTTTTACTTTTATAAGTCTTTTACCTCAGAATCTCACTCCAGATTCTGTCATTCCTTCTTCACAGGGAACCTATGTTATTCCACTTCGGTTGTTTTCTCATTTTTATTGGTGCATAATGTCCCCATTATACTGATAGTTTGTTGTCAATTATCTAGGATTTTGTTTGTTTATTCATTGTTATATCACAAAGATAAAATTCATTATAATCAACTGTGGTCTATTTCTTCTGCTGTAATGAAGGTACATTACCATAATTTGCTTTTCACTGGATGAGAAGATGGTCATCAAGCTGTGAGAGCTTGGGTAGGGTCTGTAAGCTGTCCAATCTTACCTTAGTTTTAGTGAGTATGGAAGAAGCATTTAAAGGCTTCTCAGAAGCTCAGACTTTCTCTGCAGCTTTCTCGTACCTGTCATTTCTACAGATTCTTCCTATTTCATCCTTCAATTCAAACACATTCTTTTATGCCTTCCATAAATTCACCAAAATCACTGCCTTCGATGTAAGCCAATTCTTATTTTTCTTATAGGTTCATTTCTTTATATACACTATTTTCTTAAATGTGGGATACCAGGAATGAAGTAAAATAAACATTTGCTAATCAATTATTTTTGACAAAATATATGATTTTTTGCTTTTCCATTAAATAAACTATGAAAATGCATATATATTGATTAGTGTTTTGACATGAAGAATGATATCATTTAACTAAGTTGTATATAATTCTCCAGATATTGGTTAAGAATAAACTTATAGAAATACTAATAACATAAAAGACAACTTTGTGATGGTGTACTAAACTTTTAACTTGAATACTTAAAATAATTCATAATTCTCTCTCTATATTATGTTTATACTATATACTTTTATTATCACTTATAAAATCTGTAGCTAACATGGAGATTGTTAACAAAATTATCCCAGGTGGTTAAGAAATAACATATTTTTATTTAAGTAAATTAAAAAGCTCATATCAACCAAATGTAACTTTTATCAAAATCTAGATTTGACTGGATTCTATTGAGTGTGTGTATTAAGTATGTATCAAACCTCTCTGCTCCAGACATTTTACTTTGAGGGGTGCTGTTTTAAAACAGTGGGTCTTAAAGTTTAGTGGACATTAGAATCATCTATAAAGCTTGTGCAAAAACAGAAATATTGACTCCATCACCAGACTATTGAATCAGCAATGTTAATGTTGATTTCAGATCATACTTGGAGAATCATTATATAATCAGTGAGTAAAAGCTTCATAATGTCAATATATATTAAGTACCAGTCTAAACATAGTTTCAATATCCCCTATGTTCTCTACTTAAACAACAATATGCAAATATTCTTAGT